TGCCCATCCCATCTTATACTGCACAAGTAAGGTGCAACTTTAAATTTTGTTGGATGATGTAATTTTGATATCGGAAATCTTAAAATGACTTGAAAATTTATGTTTAATTGTAATTATGAAATTTAAAATTTCAAAACTAGTGTAGATTGTGCAAATTTATAAGCTTTAGAAAATCTTGAAAATAGATGTTCAAGATTACTTGTTACGAGATGGACATTTCTAAGACTTGAAATTCTCTTTTTACTTATATCTACATATCTCAAGGCTTAGATGATTGATTGGAAGGTTTTCATTAAAATAGGCGAAGCCACGAAAGATATCAAAACAATATTTTACATGAAAAAATAACCAAAATACCCCGAAAAGTTTTCGGGGTATTTTAGTCAAGTTTTTTCACGAATTATGTTTTTATATTTTTATTAGGTGTGTCTTATTAAAATGTACACACACTCTAAATTTCAGTTCATTTCGATTTGTAGAAAAAAAAATAAAAAATGAAACACTACCGGACAATCGTGATCGTACGATGACTTTGGACGGTGATGAGGGTAGGCGAAATCACTGTTCATTTTTTCCTGTAGGCATTGGAAAGACTCTTTGTGAGACGTGTGTACATCTCACTAAATTTTTGGAAGTATTTGGTCTATTTATATTTTATGAATTATGTTTTTTATATTTTTATTACGTGCGCCTCACTTAATATGTAATTTTACCATTAAGCAAGAACAAATTTGAAATCTTCATAAAAATACAATGGCATTTTAAAAGTTAGTGTCCCAAAAATTTATTTGTAGAGTGCCCTTGTCCTTTAGTTAAAATTTCAACTTCACCCCTTGTAGAGATGATAAAAGTACTTTTTGTCTTGTAGTAATATTTACAAAATTACCCCACAAAAGTAACTTTTCTAAAAAAATAGACTACAAAAATAATAAATCCATCATTCACAACTCTCTCTATATAAATAGGAAAAGTCTTCCGATCGTCTATAGGTAAAAATGAACAGTGATTTCGTCTACCCTCATCACCGTCCAAAGTTCATCGCACGGTCACGATTGTTCAGTAGCATTCTCTTTTTCATTTTCTATCTACAAATCAGAATAATCTGAAATTTGGAGCGTATGTAGATCTTAGTAAGATGCACTTAATAAAAGCATAAAAAAAAAAAATTCGTGAAAATAAAATTGGCCAAAATACTCCTGAAACATTTTTAGGGGTATTTTTATCAATTTTTCATGTAAAATATTGTTTTGATATTTTTTGTAGATTCGTCTATTTTTTATGTACACACGTTCTAAATTTCAGATCATTTTGATTTGTAGAAAAAAATAAAAATTTAAATACTATTGGACAATTGTGATCATGCGATGAACTTCGGATGGTGATGAGGGTAGGCGAAATCACTGTTTATATTCTCCTATAAGAGTTGTGTAGTA